AGGTAGCACCGTCCTTTCGTGCTAGGGGACGTTAAGCCTAAGTAGCACCCTTGTTAAGATATCGATGGCATGGAATTTTCAAGCAAATGTATGCATGGACACACTCCCTATCATGTTATGGACTCAAGGGAGCGTGGCCCTCGACCCTCGGGGCATCAATTGCGCATTTCGATGCATGATGGCCCAAAAGGCCGAGTATGCAATTTCAATGTAAAATGAAATGCACACAAAACATACAAAGGGGCCCCAACCTCCATCATGTTTGATCAAGAGGGATGGGATGCAAACATGCAAGCAAGACTAATGCAACATGAGCATGTCATATTATGCAAACCGTGAACTATTCAACAAGCATGCAACAATGTCATGTGACCAAGGATGCCTCAAAACAGTCCCTAAGCATGCCATAACAATGCCAAAACCATGCTTAAGAACAAGCAATACATGCTAGAATGAAAGGGTAAAATGTCACGCAAAGTAGGCCAATAAGCATGATTTACACTACAAGTGCAAGAAGCAAATGAGGGATGCTCTAACCAACCCAAAATAGAGTTAAAGCATGGCAAAACATGGACAAAATCTTCTCAGAGCTAAGCCAAAATATGCTAGAATGATGGTCTAAACACATGATACACATTAAGGCTAGAGAGAGGATTGCACTACAAGTACATGGAGCATGCAAGAGGTGTCCGAACCAATGCAAAACAGGGTTATGACATGCCAAAATACTACAAAAACATGCTGAAGAGGAGCCAAATCATGCTTGAGAAACATGTCACTTTGGTGAGCCTCAAGTAGGATTACACTACAAGTATTAGAAGCATGCAAGGGGTGACCAAACCAAGCAAAAATAGAGTCAAGGCAGGTCTAAAAAGTCACAAAAACATGCTCAAACAAGGGCTCAAGAAAATGGAAACACATGTTTATTTGGTGAGCCATTAACACAAACTAACAAAAGCAATGGAGGGGGTACAACCCCCACCCATTTGGGACCTCAAAACCCCATCCCCACCACTGAAATTCCTCTAGAATTTAGTGGTTAAAAGGCCAAGAAAAGACCAGCTCGGAGGTCAACAAAAGTGGCCCAAAACAAGGCAAAACAAAGCTCAAAAGGGGGTAGATCACCCCCAATACCAAAATGACCTCAAACAAACATGTTAGGGACTTAAAAACAAGACTTTTTTTAGTTGAGAGGTAAGTCTAAAACAGCATGCAAATATGGCAAAACAAACTATGAAAACAAGGCTTAAAAGAGGTAAAAAGCTCACCCTTGAAGCACAGCAGTAAATCAGCAACTTTTGGACAAAAAAAAAAGGCTTCAAATCACCCCAAAAATCACCTCCAAGGACCTCAGCTCAATAAAAGGAGTAGAGAACTAGGTGTTTGTGTGCAAAAGTGCAAAGAAAATGCACTTTTGAGCACAAACAAGCCCTAAACCTTAGAGAGAGAGGCAGAAAATGTAGAGAGAGAGATTTTTTTTGCTCAAAGTTATATCTCCTCCTTTTTTTCTTTTTTTTTTTGTTTTTTTTCCTTTTTTGAGAGAGCTTGATTGATATAGATATATATCAATTTGCAGCTCCTCAGAACACCCACATCCAGGTATAGGCTGGGGTATGGCCTAGAATGACAGCTGTGCCAGTTGTCTACAGAGATATCTGTTGAAAACCACACTTGCCCGACCGGCCATCAAAGTGGCCGACCGGCAGTCAAACTGGCCGACCGGCCATCACATTTGGCCGATTGAAAAGCAAGGTGGCCGGTGGGCAGGAGGCTTGGTCGACAGGCCATCCCCTTCCCTCAGGAACACATCCACAAGCTCTTGGTGCAAAACCAGACACAAAACAGTCGAGCCGAGAGATCCTGAGGCAAGGCGCATAGCCGAGGCCTCCGGGAACTCAAGACGAACACAAACAAGGATGATCACCGAGTGTTCAAACGGTGACGTCCAAGT